AACTTTTTTTTTTAATGGAAGTAGTTTGGGCAACCCAGGACCTTATGGAACTGAAGGAGTGATCCAGGATAAGGGTGGAAACATATGTGGACTGTTTTCAGGACCAATTGGACAGGGTGATTCAGTTAAGGCAGAATTAGTGACTTCTGTTTTTCGGGTACAAAAAGCAAAGGAGATGGGAACTGCAAGGTTGATTGTGGAAGGGGATCCAAAGATAGTAATCGGGTGGTTGAAGAAAGGAGTGGGTGATTTGGCAACATAGAAATGATCTCAAGCAGTTCAAAATGTTGTCAAAATTTATGAACATCCAAGTAAGATGGGTAAGAAGATCCACTAATGGTTTAGCGGATAGATTAGATAAGTAAGGAGTACTGTTGAGGATTTTTCTGTTATTTGTTTGTATTTTGTTTAGTTAGCATGTTGGGACCACAGTCCATTAGTTAGAGGTCCCTAAACAGTAGTTAGTTTTATTTTTTAAATTGTTAACAGTAGTCGCCCTATCAAGGGTAAAGCTAATGGGAGAGGGCGACCAGAATTGTTGACTTCTCTTCCTTTTCTCTCATCTTTCTCTTTCTTCTCTCTCAAACTCTTTTCTTCTTCCCTTTTCTCTGCAATTTTATTTTTTCTGCCATTTTCTACTAGTACATAGAAATCATTTGTATTGGGCTCAATTGTAATAGGATGGTGGGATTCTTTTGATGTAAAGGAAATGTACATTTAACAACCTCTTGTTGTAACCCTTTTTCTTTTGAAGGATCACTGATAAATAATAGGCTGTTTGCAGACATGTAGATCAGGGTAATCGAAGAGGTAATGTTATATATTGTATTAGATTCAAAAGTATAAGGTCCTGTAGAATGAGTCTGTACAAGCGCGACCAGAACTAGACCTCGCCAAAAAAGTCCACCCTCCAAAAAGAACCAGAACTATAAACATTTCTACAAACATCGGAAAGAGATAACCAGCTCCTAAGCTCTTCTGTTATGAAGTTAATAACCCCAACCTCAGTTTTAGCCTTTTGCTCAAAAACCCTACTGTTTCTTTCCAACCAGATAACCCATAACACTGTAGATGGAATGACAGACCACACTTGTTTCCCTTCTTCTTTAGATATGCTGGGGACACTCCATCCAGCTAGCACCAGAACAGAATGACTCTGGCCAGCACCAACTCAGATTAATGGCCCTAAGAAAATGCTGCCTAACTCCTGTCAAGTACTTGAAGTTAATAAAGAGATGACTTGAATATTCAACTTGCAGGTTGCACAAAGGGCAAAGCAAGTCCGGTAATGAGTGAGAATTTTGTATTTGGAAAGTTGGGTTTCTTGTATTGGGGTATGGATAGGTATATAAGTTGGATTACAATTTATTGGTTTTGTAGGGTGGGGTAACGAGTGAGAATTTTTCTTCTCGACAATTTCTAATCACCAATCCTTGTATTCTCTTTTTTTTTATTTTTTTTTTGCTTTTAATGAATTTTTCACTTACTATGAAAATAAAAACATGGGTCTGTGCTACACCATGGATGATAGCGTTTTAGACTAGCTGCCCTAAAATCACTAGTGGTGATAGCTAAGATATAGTCTATTTAAGAAGAAAATATGGGCAAAATGAATTTTACCTAAATCCACCAGTGCAGCTTCTGAGCAATGGAGAATGAATCTGTATTTTCCAGTGTTTTGCAGAATTCATTTTAGATCCTAACCTTGATAAGTCAAGGGTGTACACCTCATGAATTCTCCAAGACATGATGAAGCTTTGGAACCTTCCGTCGAAATAATGGTTCTAATCGGAAAGATGGAATGTTACTCTGCCATCTTTTAGCATCATACATCTCATTCCATGCTTGTACTATCTCATCAATTTTGAAGCCTAAACCTGTAATTAGAAAACAAAATGTCAAAAAATAGACTAACTTCTTAAATAAATGTCAAGGTATGGGACATTTGTCTTCCAGCAGGTATTCTTGCTTTACCTTGTGATGCAGTTTGATTAGAACAATGGTTCTTTATCATAACAGCAATATCAGTTGAAGAAGCTCCTGCAAGTTCAAATTTTTCAACTGCAACCTCCAAACACTCTTCCCAACCAGGCAGCCCTAGTTTGAATTCTACAAGAGATCGCTCATACAGCATGGTGCCCCACAGAAGATGTATCTGAGATCTCATGTTTGCAGACTGCTCTGCAGCTTCTTCTGCTGATATGTCTTTAAACAGCCCATCCAACCCTTCTTTCTGCAGTTTCTCTTTAAGCTTATTTGTTTTTGAATATTCAGTCAGACGCTTTACCTCTGTCTGCTCCCACATCTGGATTCCCTTCTCCATGTTCTCCTCAGAATTGTTGTAAAGCTCTATAACCTCCGAAGAAGGCCATGCATTCAAATCAACTTTATTCCCAATTGCATAGTACCAAGAAAGTTTTGCTTGCTCAAACTGCTGCTGAGCAAGTCCAAGAAAACCCTCGTAGAAGTCTGGTTTGATCTTTAGAGATTCTTCATATCTCTTTCCCGCTTTCAAATACTCCTTTTGCGCCCAGTCATATGCATCTTTTACCTGGGCAAGCACAGATTCTATTGAAGCATCTTCAGTGAAGAACACCCTCTTCCTTGCTCTAGACATGTGAACATTTCCCCAATTAAACAAGGCTAGAGCAGACATCTCCTGGAACTTCTCTGCTGCAATGTTGAAGACATCTTGTGCTTCTTCGCTTGTAAGAGTGTCTTCCAAAGCTTCTGAATAGAGCTTCATCCCAAGCTCATGAAGATCCAAGTATTCATCTGAAGTGAACCCAACATGGTTCTTAAACAACAGAGCAAATTGGAATATCCAGTCATCAATATAAGAGGATCCTTCTCTGATTTCCCCACTTTGTCCTGCATTTCCATTCTCTATGATGCTTTGTTCGTTTTTCTCAATCTCATGAACAACAGGAACATACTTTACACCATCAAGTAATGGCTCCATCTCAAGATTAACTTCTACAATGTACAGCCTGAGAGACCCCTGTGGTTCAGCTGATGTTTCTGCCCACCTAAGCTCTTCTGTAGTGGTGATTGTAACCAAATCACCTTCTTGATCTTTGTATTTTATAAGGACAGCATTTAAGCTCGGAAATCGATTTTGGATTACCTCTCTCACCTGCAGAATGGTGCAGTTAACAGGTACATTTGCCCATCTTATGTCCTCTCCAAAAACCAATTTGACAGTCCTTTTAGCTTCTTTTTCTTCCTTTTCAGGATTACTAACCTTCTCCTCCACAACCACCTTATCTTCTGCTTTCTTCTCTTCAATCTTGCTGCTCTTCTTTTTCCTTTTCTCTTTTATTAGTCTGGATGGAGGTGAACCACTAGGAGGGTCAGTGCATTCAGGAGACAAGGTAATATCTGTATCTTCCACCTTGACACCTTTTATCTCAAGCATACTTTTCACTCTTTCATAAGTTTCCAATGCTGCAAGGTTATTTGGCTCTGTGTTCAGAACAGTCCTAACATCTCTGAAGGCCAAGTCCAGCCTATTCAGAGACTCATAACATTTTGCTCTTCTCAAGAGAGCTTTACTGTACTTGGGGGACACTTCAAGAGCCAAATTGCACTCATTGATCGCCCTAGGGTACTCTCCAAGACCCATCTGCATATAGCAAGCAGCCATGTTACTCCGAAGATAGGCAACGTCTATATGGTTTCTAGGAAGCAACTTGAGGGCCTTCTCATACTTGAGCATGGCTCCTTCAGGATCCCTCTTCTGAAACAACTTATTCCCCTCATCCTTCAATTCCTGAGACATTGCAATGAAGACATCTGTATCTTTGTCAAAGGTTTTGGGGTTCGGTTCCCCTGATTTGTCATGCTTTACATTTGCACCCCCAGATTTCCCTCCTACCTGATTCTTTTTCTTCCCAACGGGCTTCCCCATTGCAAACACAGAAACAACAAAAACAATATAAAGCCCACAACCCTAGTTTCACTTCCAAACCAAACCCTTGCACAACTGTATCGATCCAACACAATCAACCAAAGGAGATCGGCCTCTCTTTTTCTTAGGCCTAACTTCTTTGCAAAACAATCAATCCGAAACCAGAAAACCCAAATTCCTTTTTGCTCCAAAAGAAAACCTTCAACACCCTGAATTTCACCTTTAAAGTCCAATATCTACAATAACAAAAAACGCAAAAAAAAATCCAAAAACCCGGATTCAAATAAAAAATCCCCACTTTTCAATCCTCTCCGGATCAGAATCCCTACCCACAAATCCAGAGAGAACCGAATCCAAATTCAACAGTTAACAAACATTCAAAAAAAAAAAAAATCCTACTTTTCTTCACAAAAAAAAAATCACTATATCGGATCAGGAAACTTATCAGGGTGATGAATTGTCCTCAACGAGCTTCCAACCAGAGCAACTCCAGATTCGGACGAGATTCTACACAGACCCTCAATCGAGTCTTGGGTTGCTACAGAAATGGAATGAAGACCTACCATTCTTGTTCTGCTTGTAGCCGCGCCCTTTTTGTGTGTTTAATTGCCTGTAGTAAAATTCCTTGTGGGTCCCTCCATTTCCGTGAAACGAAATCGGCAATCCAAGCTTCTTGGCTTGGGACCTTATTATTTAGGGAGAATGGCATCGACGCCATCAGCCCATGACCTTTCTCCCCTCCCTCTCCTCTCTCACAGACGCGACGCTGAGAACTGAAGAGAGAGGAGAGGGAAGATTCCAATCTGACGATAGAGTGCCACCACATCACACGCTCTGTAGTCACTTGTCAGAAGAATCCGTTGGATTACCTTGCCCTCCCACCCTAGGATTAGAATCAATAAGGTGTGGGGTTGGGGCTGTGGAAGTCAATGGTTGTTGGGATTTTGACTTCTTTTTCAAATTCTAGGGAGCCTGGAGTATCGAATATTCCTCAACATCCATACATACTAGACAAGACTATGGGAAAGTGGGAAGGAGTGAAGGACATGATTTCTGTGGGTCCCACAAACCATCTGTAGTCGGGCAGTTCCAGATCATGCAAGCACGAGGACAACTAGATTGGACCTTTTATGTGGGGCCTCACGTAGTTATGACTTATGATGGGTGGACAGGTCAAACCCTAAAATTTGTAAGCGAGGGATATCCGCATCACGAGATGCATGCTGTATATTTAAGAACCATACCATGCAATTATGTAATTTATATTTTATTTTAGGATCATTTATCAAGATAAACTTACAGTTTTACGTCATTTATTAACACCTATCCTATAATTTTCAACTTTGCTTCTTGTTAAAACACAAAATAATAAATTAAATTAGAAATAAAGAAAGATAATAGAAAAAATAAAAATTGCTTATTTTATTTTTATTTTTATTATCTTTTTATATTAATTTTTTTAATAAAATAATGTAGAAAAGGGTTTGTTTCTTAAAAAGGTGATAGGATACTTTCTAGATGTCCAACACCATTGATAAAATACATGGGTCCACACATAGAGGTTGAACGGTTTGTGGGCTCCATGTATTTTATGACTAAGGTGGATTGTTATAATTAGTTCCACAGCCTACTACTGAAGAGTTCAAATCAACCCCCCACAACATCCCACGGCACATCTTATCTTCATCGTATATTGGGAACATCTCCCGATAATAGTATTAAAAATGATGAGGCATCATCAGGAGATATTCCCAATACATGGTGGGGATATGTTGTGGGACGTTGTGGGAAATTATCTTGTGGGGGGCTAATTTCAATTCACTATTGAACAATTATTGTGTTCATCTAATTTCATCTCGACTTTTTATGGGTTCTTTCAAAATAAAAAAAAAAATAAAAAATCATCTTTCTATGTACAAACACTCCTAATGGATGATGTATTAAATAAAACCGTTGCAAAGCAGAGATCTTACAAACACAAATTATAGGGTATGTTAGTATTTACACGAAATTATAAGGGTGTTTAAAAAATCACCTTTTAATTTATTTTATTTCTTTGTTTGGTAGATGTGGAGTATGGTGGAATGTGTAGATTAGTTGTGGTTTATATTGTAAATTTATGATATTTATAAAAGGCATTGTCTAGAAGAAAATGAACGAAAACAGTTAGGTGCCACGGTTGTTTTCTTCAACTGTTCCATTAATAAGCACCATCCATCGCACCCTTAGCATGTCATCTGAGTGTCATCTTGTATGTCTTAGGTGAGGTTATGTATGCATTTTGTATGTGGGGGATTGTTAATGGCATTACTATAATTATTAGTATGATTTTTCACCATTTTGATGTATCATTTTGTTAGTCAGAAGGGAACAAAGTGTAAAGGTTAAGCACAAGGGCCCCTTGATACAAAAACTATGTGCCTGTAATTACTTTGCTATGCAATATAAAGTGTCTTTTTACTAATTCGAGTGCCTTCTTGTTGCCTTTTTATGTGTAGTTACTTGCTTTAATAGGCTTACTAACCCCCCTTCAAGTGCAACATGAGGCCTCGATGACTAGCCTTGTGACAATTGGTATCAAAGCAGGTTGCTCATTAACACATACATCTCTTGAGTAGCGACATCAATGGTGGCAAAATGAAGCATGATCATGATGTTGCAGACAAGATATTATATGGGCTTTCCCAAGTCTACGAGATCAATGAGGAACTAGATGACAAAACCATTAAAGACAAAGCCTCTAAAGGGCCACACATCCAAATCAAACAAGCACAAAAAGTCAATTGACAAGCTTGCTACTTTGATACATACGTCCTCCAATGCAAGGTGACAATTGGGGAGATGTGCGATTGAGTGGAAGAGATCCACCTCAATGTTGAAGCAATCAAGAATTTGGTAGTAGAAATAAAGCCCTCTAAAATGACATCCTGAATGATGTTCATGATGTCTTGAATGGCACCCTAAAGGAAGTTCTTGACAAGTCTAGATTTGCTGACCACAACACATAATATATATATGTATACAAACAATGTTTTTGATGTGCAGCTAGATGAACATGGCTAACAATGTGTTGTGGTTAGCAGATTCGAACTCATTCTTGCAATACCTCTCTTCAGCAAGAAGGAGCTCTTCCCGATCCACCATACAAGATCAAGTCGATAAGATGAGACTTGAATAGGAAAAATAGAAGAGAGCCATGTCCACTCTCACTTCTATTCAAGTGCAGATAGAAGAAATAAAGAGAGAATGGATGGCCATGAAAGTTTCCATGGCCACTTCCACCAATGTCCTAGCATTACTTGATGAGATGAGAGGGGAAATGATAATCTTGAGGAAAGTAATAGCCAAAACTCCTAGTCCCTTAACAACACTAGCCCTTACCCGCATAAAGATTTAAGAGCCTCCCCTTTATGCCAGCAACTGAGATGATTGAGAGCTTGACAACTCCCTGTGGTAAATGGAGCAATACTGTATTGCCATTGGCATTGACAATGATAGGACTCAAGTTCATACTGTTAAGGGTGTCAATGGACTAGTTTTGGGTTGGACAGACTAGCATGACATATTGAATGGGACCAATCAAGACTTAATGGTCCAAAGTATTTATTGAATTGGGTTGGACCTAGTCCCTCTTTAATGAATTTATATTGGATTGAGCCAATATCTAGTTCATTAATATAAGATAAGAATATAGGTGTCAATGGACCTAGTTTGGGTTGGTACCAATCTAAATTAAAATGAATTTGAACAAACTAGATGGTCCAGACATTGAATTGGACCGGTCCAAAATGGTCTAAAATATTCATTGGATTGGATTGAACCCAGTCCATTTGTAATGGACTCAAATTGGACTTGATTGGATTGAACCAAATCTAGTCCAATTGACACCTCTACGTACTGCATCTATGTATTTGACTAACATTTCTATGTTATGGTGGTGCAGATAATGTCAATACATTGCTTAGGGCATACACACCATTGACACATGGGCCGATTTCAAGCGAAAACTAAAGTGACAATTTTATCCAGAGAAAATAGAGTACCTAGTCTAAAGAAAAATGAAAGGACTCAAGCATGGGGATTCACTCCACGAGTATGTCAAAGAACTTTCAACCTTGACATTGGAGATCACAGATATGTCTGACAAGGATTTGTTATTCAACTTCATGGACAGACTACAACCTTGCGTCGAATTAGAACTTTAATGCAGCAATGTACAAGACCTTGCTATAGCAATGGCAGTGGTAGAGCTAACTTATTGAGATGAGACTATCAAATGATGAAGCTCATAGACCATTTATCTCATGCACCTCGAACTTGAGTGGGTGAGTGAATCAATCACATCCATCTCAAGACAACTCTAACTTCAACAAGCCAATAAAACATTACGCTAGGAAGAAGCCACAAGGAGAAAAGGCTCTCAATACAAGTACAAGTTGAAATCAATTGGTCCTCCACATTCTAGTTTTATTTGTGGGGACAAGCATTTGCTTTGTGACTGCCCAATGAAGAAGAAAATTAATGCCCTCATCACTCAACTTAGTGATGACAAGCAAAGTGACAAGGAGGAAGTCAATGCAGACGCCAAGGGTGGGTGTCCTACAATTCTTCAATGCTAATGTGAAGAAAGAGGCCAATCCTAAATGGCCCAATAAAGCCTAGAAGGGGCTGAATTATGTAGACATCATCCTTAATGGGAAGTCAACTCAGGCTCTGATTGACACAAGACCTCACAAAACTTTATTTCGATCACTAAAGCGAGGCAAGTTAACCTAAACATTACCAAGGAGATAGGGTGGCTTAAGGCCATGAACTCTAGCACTGAGGTTATAAAAAATGTGGCATGTGGGCTTGATCTCCAAGTTGGGCGTTGAACTAGAAAGATCAATTTGTTAGATGTACCCCTAGATGATTTTCAAGTTGTAATAGGAATGGATTTCTTAATGCAAGCAGAAGTGGCACTCATGCCTCACATCAACTTGCTATGTAAACTAGACGAGAACTCTCCTTGCATAGTACCAGTTATGATCTCTACCAAGGTCCATGAAAAGCAAGTATCAACATTGCAACTCTTCCATGATGATGCCTTGTCCAAAGCAATCAGAAAGCATGCGATAGAAAAGACACCCACTCACATTGCTGCAATGAACAACTTCAGGCTAGATCTGGACACTAGCATGAAGCAACTGCTTAACAAGTAGCCCTTAGCATTCCAACCATAGTTCCAAGGCCATCTCCAACAACAACCAGGTCTATTACCACACATATTGGGGAGAGCAAGTGCAACCCAAACCAAAAAGGGGTCACTTCCATTCATTGCCTCAAACCAACCATTGCAGTCACCTTGTGAGGAGCCATCCTTAGGGAAAAATTTATGGGAACTAATGCCCTAATAATCCAAAAAATCCTTTTGACCAAACTTGGCCTCAACTTTCCCTACAAACAAACCATAAAATCCAATACCTTTAAGCAATTAGGAAAGGACTTAAACTACGACTTAGCCATAGGATTCCTGAACCTAGAGAGCAACTTCAAGCCTACCACCCAAGTATATACCCAAGCCTTGGAAGAGTCAAAGTTCTTGGAGTGGCTGAGAATTCCTCCTTCCTCACCAACAAAAATAAGGATTGAGTTGAAGTTGATCTCTAAGGTCATAGATCAAATTGAGTAGGGGAGACTATCATGGTTGTTTTCTTTAACCACACCATCATCATCATCCACCATTGTGAGCTCCAGGAAGCTCATGGTT